GGTTTTTGTGGCCCAAAACCAAGATCTCTCAATAATCTCCTCAACCATAGTAACTAGCACACACCTTGAGCCATCCCAGCATACTCGGCATCGACACTAGATCGAGACACCACCTTTTATTTTTCACTTCTCAAGTAACAAGATTACTACCAACAAACATGAAATACCCAGACGTAGAATGCCTATCAGTGGCTGAACCAATCCAATCAACATTAGTATACCCTTCCACATCTGTATGATCATACTTGAAAAACATTAACCCTTTGCCAGGAGTTACTTTCATATATCTTAAAATACGCATCATAGCCCCTATATGATCTTCACTAGGAGAATGCATAAACTAACTCACTATACTCACTACATATGCAATGTCAGGACGTGTATGAGCTAAATAAATCAACTTCCCCATAAGCCGTTGATAACACTCTTTATCAGTAGGGACTTGATCAGGATATAACCTCAACTTATGATTTTGTTCACTAGGGGTATCAATTGGTTTACAATCCAACATTCCAGTTTCTGCAAGTAAATCCAAAATGTACTTCCTTTGGGATTGAAAGATACCATGCTTAGATCTGGCAACTTCAATTCCAAGAAAGTACTTCAAGTCACCTAAGTACTTCAAGTCACCTAATGACTTCATCGTAAACTTGAAAGCCAGATACTTCTGATTTTTCATTTCTGCATGATCATCTCCAGCCACAATCATATCATAAACATAAATAATTAAAGCTATCAATTTACCCTTATAATGCTTTAGAAACAAAGTATGATCCGAGTTACTCTGTACATACCCAAACTTCTTCATAGATGCAGCAAACCTCCTAAACCATGCTTTTGGAGACTGCTTTAATCCATACATGGATTTCCACAGCTTACACACAACACCCTCCATGGAGGTCACATATGAATATCAGGAAGGATCCATGTATATTTCTTCCTTGAGGTCACCATGTATGAATGCATTCTTGACATCATATTGCAACAAGGGCTAGTCATGATTAGCAGCTAAGGACAAGAGTACATGCACAGTATTGTGCTTTGCTATTGGAGTGAAGGTTTTCATGTAATCCACTTCGTAGGTCTGAGTATATCCATTTGTTACCAATCTAGCCTTATAACGGTCAATGGAACTGTCAGCCTTATGCTTCAAAGTAAACACCCATTTGCACCCAACAGCTTTCTTCCCTTTCGGTAAAGGAACTAACACCCAAGTGGCATTCTTGTTCAAGGCTTCCATCTCAACATTCATTGCATCCACCCATTCGGATCAGATAAAGTATCCTGCAACTTAGTTGGCACACATACACTAGATAATTGACACAAACATGATGCATATGACTTAGATAAATGATGAGTTGACACATAATGGCTAATGAGATATTTAGACTTGGCAAGTATATCAGGATAATATTGTACTTTACGCTTCCCACGAGTAGTTCGTGGGGGCAATTGATAAGTAGACACATTATCAAAAATTACCTCATTATTATCATGAGTTGATTGAGACAATGGCAGGGCAGAAGGGGGTCTTGCATCGAACTCATCTACACAAGAATCATTATTATCATTTGTTTATTGTAACCTTTGTGTTGTTGTTGTGTCGAATTCAGTTGTGCCAAAATTGATTTAGCTGCATCCTCAACTTGTGATACTTGCAAGTGCACGAGCTGTTTGTCAGTATAGCATACGTAAGTATGAGGTCGATCCCACGAGGATTGATGATAGATTGATTCAATTTGATTCGTTGCACAAAACAGAAAACAAGAAAGAAAATAACATAAAACAAGAAAGAAAGAAAAGAAACTAACTGAAGCAAATAAGTTAACAAGTTCAATTCAGATTCTCATATTGATTCTAGCTAAAGTATGATTAAGTCATGGTGTCTGGTCCTAACCTTGCATTCCTAATTCCCTAATTAGATCCTTGTTGTTGAACCTAAATTAAGCATTAAAAATCCTTTAAGCATAGAAGAATGTTTTAAACAACCAAACATGTATCTAATCCCTATTGTCGAATGTCCATACATACTCTTCCTATTCATAGTTCAATTCGAATTAAAGCATATGGTGTCTACTCTTAATTCCAACCATGATATAACTAACATACAAGTGTTAATGGTGATCAATCATTCAAACAAGCATATTAACTTACAACCATAATGAATATGAATAAGAACCATAATTGAAACTTAGAAACTAATCAAACTTGAAAACTTAAAATAAGAAATTACATGACAATGAAAAATAAATTACAACTAAGAAAAACATAAAGGAAAATTTAGCAAAAGAGTTTTGTTACAACAATTAAGAACTTAAAAGAAAAACTAAGAGAATTTGTGGGAGAGAAGGGAAAGGAGTGATCGGTTCATAATTGTATATCATTTTGTACCCTTCTAGCTTATGATTTGGTTATGTTTTTGAGTTAAACTTGTGCTTTTAATCCTTTTTGTGTTTATCTTTCAG